CTACGCAAAGGACACACACACAACACACACACACACAACACACACACACACACATTAGATCATATTAATATTTGCATAACACACATACACGCATAAAAATGTGATTCTTTGTTTGTGTTATGAGTAGACATTCCTCCAACTAGGACAGATGTGCATCGTAGTACACCCATTGTTCTCTTCCTCTTATAGTAACAAACACATCTACAACAAATTATTCAGTCTTCTAATATAAACTACTTTCATGTTTATTGTTTTGTCATTTTATTTCTTCAGGTAAATATCCAAGAGGGATTTCAGTTTTCCTCTGTTAAATAAAAAGTCATTTTATGTAATGTAAAAAGTATCAATAACCATGACGGCAAATGAGGACAACAGGGAAGACTGTGATCTTTTTACATACACAGATACACTACAAATAATAAATGTCTGTTATTGTTTTTGTTATATTTTGTAATATACGATGATTTTTAAAAGTAAGTTTTGTATTCAGACATCTTGTTTAAATTATCCTTATTGATTCCCATAGGCAAATTTCCTATTTATCTGCATTTAACCCAGCCTGAGTGTTAGGAGACAGTGGGCAGCCACTGTGCAGTGCTTGGAACCATTCAGTACGTACAGGAAAATCTAGCCAATTTATGGGTGAATGTGACTAAAAGTCTGTTTAAGATCATCAGTACAGGCAATAGCACATTTTTGCTATGTGGTAAGATTAGACAAGTAAAAATATTTTTTTCTGTGTGAACATTCACAGAAGAAGAACACCAGCACTTTTATATTTAAATTAGTATCTGTACAGAGGTTACTGTTAGGCTGGGTTTTATGACCCTATTAAAATAAGCCTTCATAGTCTTTGGTGATGTTCAGGCAATAAGACATTAAACAGCACATTTTATTTTTCTATGCGTTTCTGTGTTGGAAGTTTTGGTCTCCTTGTTCTGTTTATTACTTTCAAGTTGCATATTTTATGAGATGAGGACAGATAGGACCCTTTAAGGTATAAAAAAACACATTCTTATGTTTGCACATCATGAGCAAACTTTTGTTTCCATGCTCTGAACAGTATTAATGCGTATTTAGTGTGTGTGTGTGGTGTGTGTTGTGTGTGTGTGTGTGCTGTGGGGATAGGAGCTGTCTGCCAGTAAGGACTCACTCGTGTATGCATACTTGCATCTGAGTGCGCTTTGTATATGCATGTGCCCATGCGTGTGAGCGTGCAAGCTTACATGCCTCGCACCGTGTGTCTGCTTGTGATTTGGACTATGTTTGCGAGCTGCTGGCATGTGATCATTGTTGATGAAATGTCAGCATCTGGCAGTGTTGCAAAAGCAGCAGGGGATATAAGCAGGTTATTTACTGGCCACTGATGTTTGTCTTTAGCCTCAGGACACCCACTCAGTCCATATTGTCAGCACAACTTAGGGCTACACAAGTGTTTCTTGCTCCATCACTGGCTGCAAGTAAAGACATCAACAGATGCTGTTGTGTGCAAAAATGTACAGAGGCCAGAGATGTTATCCAGGAAGTTTCTGGTCGTAGGTCAAAGCAAACATTGTTTTTGACCTTGTATTTCACTCACTGTTACCACATCTGAGCTGGCGTGAGGTGTCCTTGGAATAATGAGTGAGATCGTGTTTAGACTCACTAAGATGGACAGCGGCATTGATCAGAGATTGCTGCTGTAAACCAGCCCTGATTGTTTTGATTTCGTTTTTGGCTGTCTATAGTGCAAAACAGATAGGGGTTTTGCACATTTAGGACCATTAAATGGATAAAATGGGCTAATGAGGCTCAATCCTTCTGAGAAAAACAACTTAAGTGATTCACTGGCAATGGTTATAACCCAGATGTCTGTTTTTGTTGCTTTTTGAGGCTGAATTGCTGACATAGGTGAATGTTGCAATGCGGTACCCCACCCCTGAAATCAGGCTGACTTTGATTGAACAACAGACATGACTAACCTTGGTCTGGAGGGTTGGGGTCCCAGGCCGCCCAAAGCTGGACGATGAAGAAAGGTGACCAGCAGATAGTGTAGACCAGTACGATGACCAGGGTCATTCTCACTGTCTTGGACATGGCTTTCGTGATGCTCGGAGGCGGAGTGGCTGGAGGGTGAGGGGGGGCATAGTCAAGGGAGCAACGAGGTGAGCCTGAGGTCAGCTCATAGGACGTGTAGGACTCCTGGCAATCTGAGCTGTTCAGTGTTTGCTGCTGTGTAGGTGATGTTGTTGTTGTCACATGTTCACCAGGGCAGCTGTTATATTGAATAGCGGCTGGTACATAGTCGTAACACTCGCCCACTTGGCTATTATTGTGAGGGTTGTTATTCACACCCTTTAAGAGCTGTCCTCCTCTCCCGTCCCTGCCCCCTCCTCCTGACGACCGTCTCCCCCTCTCCCTGGCCCGCTCATCCTCCTTCTTAAATCCGTGGAAGCGGAAGAGGATTTCGCTCTTCTTCAACTCAGCCATCACCATTCTCTCTGACTTCAGGTAGATGTTATTGTGAATCTCTCTGAAGATTCTTATCTGAAAAACAAGAATATTTTCAAGCGCAGTTTAATATGAGGGAAACAAGGCATTGCATCATTCAACGACCTAAGGGGCCGCGGATTAAGTTTTATGGCTGGCACGTGCCAGATTCAGATGCTTGTCTTTGCTCTTTGCAGACAGACTTGTTTGCATTTTTTCTCTAACAGTGACAGGTTATTTGGACTGAAAGAGAGAGTGTGTTGGCCTTCACCATCAGCCATAAACCAGTTTCAGGCATTTTTATGCAATACCACTATTACTCCACTCTGTTCGAATCAGAAAAGCTACCATAAAATTTTATTGCAGCAAAATGATTCTTCATGCTCTCTTGAGAAACTAAAACAATCATTTTGATTCAAGTAATAACAAGTGATTCATACTATTTTTATCTTTTTATTGATTTTAAGGTTTATTACTGCCAACCGTTGCAATTCTTTGACTTTTAAAACAGCATTTTATGAGAGTATGTATAGAAAGTGCACTCCAATCCACAACACCATACAGTATATACCTACAGTACATGTACTTAATCGGCTCATTTGAAACTTGATTGAATGACTTCCTTCTTCCAGTAACTTCATCATACTTCTGAAAAAATGTCTAAAGAGGCATCTCAATTTGAAATTCGATAATGAAAAAAGGTCAGGGATTCTATGTTTGGCTGAGATCTGGTACATTCCACTTCCTGGCAGGAGGTTCTCAGAGTGGGCAGATTTTCTGAGCAGCCGTCTCAGCAGTGGTCTTCCAAGTGCTGTGTTAATTAGGGGAAATAGCTGGACCCTGGAAATATCTTTCCCTAAATAGAGCAGCAGGGCTGATGGGAGGCAGCCCAGAATGCCTATCCGCCATGGGATGCTACATAACACCAACCACAGTCCCCCTTGGGTTATCAAACAATGCCTGCCAAACGCGCCCTCGATGAAAACAAAACAGAATTTCATTCATGCCACACGCTTCATTATTGGATAATGTTGCCTACAGCCTGTAATCCTATTCAGTTGTGCATTGTGGACAGTACAATTATTGAGAATCCAGCCAGTAAAACCAGTATTACCTGACAGATGGTAATGATGAGGGCGGGCAGGAGGAAGACTGCCACGGTCATCCAGGTGACGTAGGCCTTCAGACCCCACGGCTCAGCAAAATGGCCCCAACACTCATACTCTCCAGGAGCCACTTCTGAGCGAGAGAAGATGAACATCTGACAGACCGAACAAAAGGAGGTGGTCAGCACACCCACAGACATGACTGTCAGTTTTCTTTTCCATTAACTGAACTGCAATAGCCTCATCGAGCTAAATATAGACCGACATCTTGAGTTCTACTGTAGCAATCAGGGTGTGAGCACCCACTGGGCTCTCATTTCCTATTTCACCATGTGTTTTTTTGTGACTGTGTGTGTAATTGCGTGTGAGGTATTGTTTGGATGTTTGTTCACTCCTCCCTACCTGCGGTATGCTGAGGACTAGGGCCAAGCCCCAGGCCACCATGACAGGGGTGTTCCAGCGGGACATTGCTCCCCCACGGTAAGCCTGCAACGGGCAGCAGATGGCATGGTGCCGGTCTACTGTCATGGCAACTATCATGTAAGAGGAAGCAAACATGCCCACAATCTGCAAGTACTTGATGGACCGGCAGAGCAAGTCAGGCCCCTGAAACCTCTCTGTGATGTCCCAGATTAACTGCGGAAGAACCTGGAAACACAGATTTAAAAAAAAAAGAGTTATTTATATAAAAGCTGCTCCTGGAAATGTAGAAGAGGACTAAAGGTTATAGTTAAGTCTAGTGATATTCTGTATTTGTGTTACTGTCGATAAATCCCATGAAAAGACCAAAACAAACAAATAATTGATCGTGTGTAGCCCAAACCTGATATAAAACATTAAAAAACATCAATGAGCACTGGCACTGACCTGTTCTTTAACTACTATGAAACACATACACCTGCTGCTGCTGCTGCTGCTGCTGCTGGTGTAAACACTTTCTAAAGCACCAAATGTTCATCCTGAACAGATTCACAGCTTCTGAAGCTGAAAATAGTATGCTTGAGTAGCATTTGCTGAAAACTAAGTAAGAGGAGTAAGAGACACAGACAGGGTGGGAAAGTCACAAAGGTTTTGAGAGACAGTTGGTCTTTTTATTGGATTTGTTAACAATTTTAAAAAAAAACATAGAAAAGTCTTATAGTAGCTGTGACTAGCTGAAACACCTTACAGTTCAGTGTAGCACTGAATCCAATACCTCCTTACACTGTGTTGCTAAGCAATTCAGGCAGTATACCACCAGTCACGTTTAAACCACAGTTATAAAGGCAGCTACACAAATAAGTCCAATTAAATTTGAAAAGAGCAATTTGCAATACAAATATGTTACAACAACCTTACTACTCATAAAAAGGCCAGATGAGGCTTCCTGAATTGATGATGCATGACAAATAATATGGTGAGAGGAAAACCGTAATACCTTAATTGTAATTTAATAATTCATTTTGGAAAAATCTTTAAGTGGAGTTTTTTTAAGAGAGTCTTATTTAGAAGTTTCACATGATGAATGCTTCAATAAACTGACGAGGCTATTGTATCCGTACATTTTTTATAAATTAATTTAATACTTCCTGCAGGGGTCTCAAGTTAAGTTGTGAACTGACCTGAAAGAGGGCCACCACCAAGTCAGCCACACACAGGTTGACCATGAACACATGCATCGGAGCATTGTGCTTCCTCCTCCTCAGCAGCACCCACAGCACAAAGCTATTCCCCAGGGTGGTAAGAGCCAGCACCAACCCGAGCACTGCAATCTCTGCCCGGGCCAGGCCCAGGTCCCTTGCCCTGGGCTGGGGCAGGGTGTGAGGCGTGGTGGTGGTGGAACCATTCTCAGGGAAGATCCCGAAGAAGGATCCCCCGCTGTGAGAACTATTGAGGGAGTTCAGCTCAGAGACAAACAAAGACGAGGAAGAGAAGTTGTTCCTTCCTGTGGCGACCAGAGAGGAGAGGGCTAACCCATCCCAGTCCGTTTCCACACTGATGCTTTCCATTCCTGAAAGATAAACAACGTGTTAATGTGGAAAAGCCAATAAAATCTGTTGTTTTTCTGGTTTGTTTAAATGATGCCCTGTGCTAAATGGTGATCAGAGGTCCAACTGGTGCAGGGTCACAAGACTGTCTATATACAGATTGTTACAAAGAACACATTTTATCAACAAACAATTTACTTGTTCTGTATTATCACAATATCAGTATCATGTCTGACCTCGTTATTAAATTTCCTCCAATTGCCCTCAAATTTGTCAGCTGAGTAATTTTGTACTTTTCCTTATCTAACCACTGAGAATCCAACCCAAAACACTTTGGTCTTTTATTTAAAATACATGCAGACATTAATCACAGGGACTCTTTGTTTTCGGTGCATCTGTTACACTTTCACATCGTACACCACAAATAGCTTTCCTTATGCAATTTTATTAAATGTGAATGAAAGTAATGAAAGCCAGAGACTGCACCAATCATGCTGCCATGTGAATATTGTTGTGTTTTTGGTGCTGTCTCCAATTTTTTAATAAGTCTTCAGTGTGTCTGTTTATCCATCTCTCAAAGCTTCAAGTTCAGTTTGACGCAAGTCCAACGCGGCTTATTTTCTTTTTCATATTTTCTCAAGGGTGATTTGACAGCTTTCCCCCTCTCTCCCACCACTCTTATTCCTTCACCTCCGCTCTCATAATCGCTCTCATCCCATGCTTACCCCCATACATTCCTGTTTTCCCCTGTTTTTGTTCCCCCCTCTCTAACTTCTCTCATACACACAGGCATTCTTTTCTCCTCCTCTCCTCCCCGAGTCACACTCTCTCCTAATCTCAATGAATTTAAGGTTTATTTTTCTTTGCTTATAAATAAATGGCTCAAAAGAACAGAAAGTTTATAGGAATGAGATGACAATTTCAGAAACAGAGTCATGGGATGCAGGGGGCATCCTTGGTCAAATAAACAACAAGTAAAAGAAAGTCTGGGAGGAAAAATGAAAAAAAAAAATGATGAAGGCATGTGTTGAGAAAGGGCAGGAAAGGAAAAAAACAGCCCAGAAAAGGTAAAAGAATAGAGAGGTGGAAAGAGGATGATAAGATAAGGAAGGAGAAGGTTGCCAAATATAACTCCAAGGAGGGTTATGTGCTGCTGCTTATCACAGTGTTTGTTCATTGACACCATATTGATGTATTGTTTTGACTAATGTGCAAGGAGTGGTTAGGTATACAAATGTTTCACTGACTAGGTGCTTTGAAATGCTCGACTTTTTAAAATAGGTGATACAGTGGTAGCATTGTGCAATGGCATGTGACTAATAAGACATTACAAAGTTGTTCTCTCTACCCTACTGAGACCTAATGGCCAATTTGCTAGTAATAGCGTACTCACCACTGGGTGCGTGAGATAACACAGCTGAACATATTGTTAAGCGTTATACATGCTGGCTTTCCCAAAGGAATGTATTCAGATGAATGCATGACAGAAAAGGCCAGCTGGACCTCTCTAGCCAGCATGAAGGTAGAGCCATGGGTGACAGGAACAATCTGAGCGTAACCATTTCTCTTAAGTCAGACAACGACTCTTTGATTCGAGTGAATCCCTGTTGCCACACCAGGCGACCACAACACTGCCATAAATGGCTTAACCAAGTCCAACTTTTATTACGTTCCTCTATGTCTGCATTGCTTTAGTGAGTTTTGAGAATTCTGCTTAAAATATCGGCCTTGTTCAAAGGTCATTTGGATCAAAGTTACTAATATTCTTTCTTATTATCTGTTTATTATTTTTGCCTTTTCAAGGTTTTTTTTAAATTACGGGTTGAGACAACGAGGCCTTTTTTCATCAAGGAATCTCCTGGCCTCTCTTTGTGAAAACCCGAGGAGACTTGTGCCCCTCTCTGTAATTACAGCATAATTCATGAGAGGATTCTTTGTGCTGCCATGGTCTTTTATTCTCTCATATAATCTCATTATGTATATTTGCCCATGTGACTAATTCCTGATGTGAAATCCCTTTTCAAGTATGCTTCTGTGAAGATAAGGTGGAATGACTTGAGCAAGGTGCTATAATACCACTGTGGCATAAAAAATTAATCCACAGTATTACAGTAATGCCAAACTAATATCCTCAAATTGTATTCAATAAAATAAAATTGTAATAGTTTAAAAAATGATTAATAACTGGCAGGAAATCTTATGTAATTGTGTCTTAGACTTATCTGTTGATCATATATGGGAATGTGTGTGAGGCATTTCCTCCTGAACAGATTCACAAAGGATTGCTCCATCTCTTGTTCTCTCTCAGTCTTGTTCTGATAAATTCTGAATTAGCCCCTGTTTCCCTGAACTCCTGAAGGACACAAAGTATTTTCTCCAAATATTCTCATTTCTCATTTGCATGACTTGTGCATCCAAAAAATCAAGATGGATTATCTTAAAATTGCTCAATGACTCAACTACAGGAGACCCACGCATAGTTCAAAACTTCTGGCCCTGATGTTTCCTGTTCTCAGAGGAAATTCCTTAAACCGAGTATAGGTAGAGGAGGTAAATATTAACTGCAGAACTGTGCTGGATGCAGTTTAACATATTCCTTTACATACTCTGTCTCTGAAAATGTATTCTGCTTTGCTTTCTCTTTAATAACACAAGCCCAAAAAGCATTCCCATCTGTCTGATCAAGTTAATGTTAAGCACAAATTATTCCATCTCTCTGTGCTGGATGGACTGTAGACATTGGTTTTAGTAGTTGGCGAAGTATGTTGCTTCCTCCCTTTACTTTAAAGCTTTCACTATGATTAATGATGGAGTCGATCCCTCTCTTGCTCTCCTCTCCAGATGCAAACCTGTGTGCAACCATCCATTTTCATGTCTTCCCCCATCCTATACCGCTCTCCCTGCACACAGGTCTACAGTACCTCTGGGAGGACAGAAACAGGTAGTTAAAACGCGCAAGACAACATTATAGCTGCCATCCATTCACATCTTTCAACATCTCTGTCTTCTTTTCTTGCTGTTCGCACATGTTTTGGCCATTCCTTTTGACAAACTACATCATGTTCCAGCTATGCCAACATCCAAATATTATCTCTTTGTGTGGTCTTAAACCCTCCTAAAGTATGTTAATTACCAAATGCCTTGAAGAGACATATTTTTGGTATGAGATAATCGGTTATGTGACAAATTTTCACAATAATTTAAGTTTAGAGGATAGTTTTGTCATAAATTCGATACGACATAAGCACATATGTGAAAGGTTCAAATGTAGTAAATGAGCTGATGTAAATCTACTGCTGTAGCCCTTTAAGTATTTTTTTTATTCACAGTCAAATAAAAAATACTTTTTAACAAGAAACTGAAATTTGAATAAAAGTAGAAAACAGGAGGTGGACACTGAACCTCCTGTACTTTCAAATGTGTTCAAAATATTACCTCTCTTTAGTTCTGTCTTGCCATCTTTTGCGTAGCAGTGAAACAGATTTCTATTACTCTTTCATGCACAGGGCACCTTGTTTGCATTTAAAGACACCGACAGTGAGGATGAACCAGGTTGGCAGATTTAAAGCTAATCAGTAGCTAACATGAAATGGTGATGGCAGCGGTGGCAGACAAACAGGTGCTGAGGCACTAGGTGCAGTAATCCAGACATAATGAAAGATCCATCACTTCCCCACCTGTCTTGTGTGCGTGTCAATCCCTTGATTAGTTCCCTTTGACCAGGTTTGACCCAATCTGATTAATGAGGACCTCTCTGTCCTCATTAGCAGCCCAGTGTACACTCAAACAACCTGTTCTAATTTCCCCCTCTAATTTGCTTCATCTTTCTTCCTCTTTTCTAATTTACCCGCTCACCTGTTATTTTCTTCTTTTTTTGCATTCATCCACCCACTCTCTTCTGTCGTAACAAATCCACCATCTCCTGTCATTAAGGATCAAAACTACAGCAGAAGTGGTTCTTGATATGCTTATTATTTTTGTTTGATTTGAATGATCACCCTCATTAAGAGATTCTGGCAGCACGAAACAGGATTAAAAAAGTCTGGCCCAATATACATCTAGGACGACTGAAAATATACATGTGAATCAAATATTAGATCACACAGTGTGATATACTTAAGCTTTGGCTTTGTGTGCTGCTTTTCCTCGGTACATACCAATCAATAGATTCTGACAAAATAAAGGCCTGGATGAGTCATTTGAAGCCACACTCTGGGCTATGCAGCATTTCATCTGCATAATAATGCAGATATGACCATGCTTTCTTCTTAGATCCCCATTGGTGCTCTCACATGTAGCATAAATTCACCATAAATTAGATCCCCATTGACACTCTACCATGCAGCAAGCATGAATTTCCCACCAGAATGAGTCGGTTCAACGGCAGGAGGATACTTATGCATATATTTATGCATTTCAATTTGTAGAGGCACCTGCTGTACTTATTAAAATCTGATTCACAGCTCTGTATCTGTGATGTATTCCTCTCTTTCATTGTGTCTCACTCAGGCTCTAGATTCTGCCGCTAAAAGTAAACACTTGCTTCTTTTACTCTCATGCCCAAACAACCCATTAAATGTTAATCATGTGGGACCACACCTCATTGCACACACTGATAAAGTCATTACTTGCACACATTTCACTTCTGTGTGTGCTGCAGCACTCTTTGCAATAAGTTTGTTTTCATAATACACCACCAGCCAGTGGACAGAACTCGCTAGGTTTGATGTTGAAGAAGGTCCAAGTCCCCTTATCAGCACTGATAAAGCCTGTTCATAAGACCACTGTGTTTTCCTTGTTATGTATCATTAACCAGCATACTGGCAACAAGCGTGTGCCCTAAACAAAACAGGGCCTTTTTCATGTCACACAGCTGATATAAAATTCAGAGAATTCCCCCTGAAAGATGGAAACTGGGCCGTAAAAACAGGTCTGGAGGTTTGTAGTTGATGTGGTCAGATCTGTGCTACATGATGAAATTAACAGGATGAAATGATCTCCCTGTTAGAGACCAGATTAAATTGACCATGAAAAAAACAGTAATGATGATGATGATGATTTTTCCTTATGGGGGCAACAATCAGGAAAGTAATTTTGTGCATATAATATATTAGAGCCAAACACACACAAAAAAAGACAGAAAGTGTATGATTAATGGGAAAAAACCCATTTAGAGCACTTTGTTTGATACAAACAGCTTCCTGCTTTCAGTAACAATAAATGATTCTACCAAACTGACAAACTATTTTAATTGCCATTATTGGAAACTGACAGAGATATTCAGGCTTTCAATGAGAATTAAAGTCTGTGTTTTTGCTGTGATCATGAGCATTGCTTCACTGTGAGGAAAAACGTTTCCATCTATATATCAAGTACTTAGTTGTTCTGTTGCACACATATTTTAAAAGTTAGGCAATAAATCAATGAACTTTGAAGAGATGGACTTGTGTGTACCATAAATACACAGCCGTTCAGGGACAACACATTTCCTTTTATCATCTAAAGAGCTTTGATTTGCCTTTTAAAATAAGGGCAGGACACACACACACACACACACACACACACACACACACAAAGAAACAGACATACACGCACGCACATAAAAGAAGAGCACCCAAGGTGAGTATATGCCTTCTGTCACCTCTCACCTTGTTGTCAGTGCATGGTAAGCTTTCTCACGCGTGTCCTTTTCTCTTGGTGCGCTTTGCTTTCGTCAGTCTCGGTGACTATGGGACAAAGCATTAACAGCCGTCACCATTAGACAGTCCATTAACGTTACATGCTAGAGCAGATCACATTAACAACCTGACAGTTCCCCTGAGGTTTTTTAATCCGCGGAAAAAATTAGCATTTAAAATTTTTAAGCCATAAAAATGTAATGTGCTGGACATACTGTATATGTTAACACACATTACATATGTTGAACTCAAGACTGAGAGGCATGGTAAATACATGCTGTGTGTCTATTTATTTGTAAAATCAACTGAATGTGATACTCAATCATTTAAAATAAACAGATGCCAACATTTAGTGAATCATGTGAAAATCATCATCAATGTATATGTTGTATAAGCTTTTTGATACCAGTATTATTTAATAAAGTATGTGGAATATTTTCCCAGTGTGCCTATATGTATAATCTGTACATTCATTCATTTCAGTCATAGCTGCACTTTCCAAAACAGGTGTACTCTTATGGTACGGTTTCTAAAATAGATAATGTTTTTCCAACTCTTTTTCAATATTATTAATTACAAATGAAATGTTTTTTCTTTCTTTTTTAAATTTGTATTTTAGGAAAAATTAGACCTACTAGTTAACAGTATAAATATAGTATAAATTGTGACATACTGAACACAGAGCTTCAGTTGTATATGTGTGTCTTGTGTGGAATCGAGAGATGTACAGAGAGATGACCTAGATTGGTCAGTAAACAAATCCATTCACAGACTATATGAACAAGTTTGAGCTCCTACAGACCACTGAGCTGTAAAGTGATTTTTATTGAAGGATTATAATTAGAAGTATTTGTACTAATATTAGTATTTATATCACAACCAGAATTAGTAATCAAAACAAACATTCACCACAGAGTAAATAAAAAGTACTTACTTATGATCCACTTCAGTGTGTGACAACAAGCTGTTAGATTTTTACCCAAATTGACACCTTCAGTGCTGTCAATCCAAGTCCTCTGTTCAGTGTAATATCAGCTGAATGAATTAAGAAGGATGCACACACACTTAGTTTTTCTTTTATTTCTGTCAGTGTGACAGCGGAGTTCTGCAGGGTCTGTGCAAGTCCTTTGTGTGCCTGCTGACTGTATTTTCCTTGCTTTGTTGGAGTTCACAAGTGTATTTCAGAATAATCCATTTGATAGCCATGTGTGTCCCGGCTCCTTGTGCGTCACGTTATGCTCTCGCAATGTGCTGTGCCTCCAGGAGCACCAGCAGAAATTAATCTGAGCTCCCTCCGTCTGCTCTTACCTTCCCCTCCCTTCCCCACTATCCCCTCCTCCTGGGTCAACCAGCCTGTCCTCTAGGGCTGAGGGTGGAGCGTGCAGCAAGGAGTGGAGGGAGGGTGTTATACATACCTATGAAGTGTATAAGAGAGACAGAGGAGAGAGAGAGACTGAGAAAGAGAGTGAGTGTGTGTGTGTGTGTGTATGTGCAAACTTGTTTTGAAATTAATGTGTGCGTGTGTGTGGTGTGTGTGTCTGTGTGTACGAATGTGACAAAGAGAAAGCAAGACAATAAAAGCTCCACCCCTCATTGTAATGATTTATGGCTTGTGTAAGTCATTGATACATGCCACTAGTGTTTTTATTCAAAGCTGGCCCCTGTTTTGCACTCGCTTGCCTTCCATCATCTCCTTTGTTGCTGGTGGACAAGGGCCGGTGCCCTTCCACCAATCCAGGAATGCCGATTGGCTGAGTCAGCTGGGCCAACAGCAGGTCACGCCCTTGGTTTACACACAGAGCAGTGAAGGTTAGTGTAAAGGTGGAAGAAAAATTGCTGTCTTTTAGTTTTAATGTCAAGGGTCTCTGTCTCTCACAGACACACACACACACACGTGTGATCGTAAGGAAATACAGTTGGCAAGCATGCAAACTCTCACAGGTGTACACAATGAGTGAATTCATAGAGACAAGCATACATACACACGCAAAGTCTTAGGCACGCACGTTGAACACATGCACACACAAAAACCAAATGGTGGCGACGAACCCAAATTTATTTTGACAAGTAAATTGCAGCTTCCTCTTACTTTTTCCCCAAAAGCTGCAAATAACAAGGAAACTGTAGTTCATTGACATTTTACGAGTATTATATCATTCCCAACTTGCCCCCAGCAGCACACACACTGACAGACACCATGCAATACCCATGGGGCACTCACTGTCTGTCTAGCCCAAAGCCATTGATCCCTGTCCAGCAGAGACTAAATTGTCCCATGATGTCAGAAAACCTGGCTGTTTTTCTCTAGTGGTGCCGCCAGGTTCACATCAGATGTCTTGCTCAGTCAAAACCATTCTGTCCTGCCATTGAGGAGGTGGGTCTGTAAGCTCCCTGAGAATCGCTCTAATATGATTATCCTGGCTCCTCTGGTCTTAGAGGACGTTTTGTCACAAAGCGGTAAAGCAGCAAAATTAATCGACAATCCACTTTGGTCGTTCAACAGATACACATGACAACTGATGAGCAAGATAGGAGGGAAGGAGTGGCAACAAAGAGAAAAGGCTGCACAGTGAGATCACAGAGAAAGCTCTTATTTAGTTTTAGTTTCACGGTTATGAAAATAACCTCTATCATAAGGTAGAACATATCTTGCACATCATGTTCAGTAAGAGAGCAGTATTGACGTTTGAAAGGAATGTTTAGACCTTTAAATATCTCAATCTATGACAACCTTTTCCTCTGAGATTTCTGGCTGGACATTCTCCCACATGTTGGGGCTTATTTCCAGCTCCTAATATCGTGCCAGAAATAAAAATGACAGCTGTTTTCCTCTGAGAGGGAGTCTCTTCTGGAAAGACCTTTTGATGACTCTTCTCAGGGACCTCTTCATTCGTGCAGAGGTGTTGACAATTATGAAACATCTTGCATTGAGGTTGTAGCCGTGCGGTCAATCAGGGGCCCTCTTCTGCCTGGAGAAGAAAAAGACGGAGACAGTCCTGGAACAGACTGAACTAAATCCGAAAACAGTCACTCAATCAAGTTCACTTTTCAGTCCAAAGTGTTTGGCTTCATCTCTTTGACTCTGTCAGAGACCACAAACATGGCTACCATCAACCTCAATAGAGAGAGATGAGGCTTAACTGAATGTTCACTCCAAGGAACAAAAAGTCCAACATTTTTCTTCCTGTAGGACGGCTTGAATTAGGCCATGCCTTAGGTTAAGAAGAGCACAGAGCGCAGAACAACACCTGGTCTGACAAAGTTGGCACAGTAAAGTTAAGGAACATCTGAGGGAATCATTAACTGTCAGACGACCCATGAATAACAGAGAGGGATGAAGAATTTGGGATTCATCTTGTGTAAATCCATAATAACAAGGAAAAGATACTGTGGGAGATTACTTTGCCAATGAAGTGCAGTTTTATTTCTATCTAAGGCCCTATTACTGTCATTACACTCAGAGCTCTTTTCCATAAGATGCTACAAGCATGAATCACTTTTGCAAACCTGTCACTGACGGTTAAAAAAGACATTCCACTTCCATTTTGATGAGCCATAGAAATAAAATGTTTTATTTAAGTAACTGTATCCATACAACAATAGAATAGTACTTAAATTATATTGTTGGTTCATTCAACTATATAATATTAAGGTGGCAGCAGAAATCTGAGATGGATAGTTAAATATCACCGGAGAAAATGTGTTTGCTTTTTTAGTAATTTGGCTGAACCCACCCGTTTGTGTATCAGGCCTGTACTGATTGTAGTAGCTGTATTACAGTGGAGTTGGAGTTTAATTGTCCTTAAAGGGAAACCACAGATTTTACAGTCTGTTTACAGATCTTGGTAAGTAATACCTGAGAAAAGTTGTATAAAGTCCTCCAACAGTGTTGGTTGGGGCTGAAGGCTACAAGTTCGAAAAAATAACGGTAAAAATGAGCTTACAAGACCTCTGTAGTCTTCTCCTCATGCTTGAGGTTAATGGCTCGAGGCTACATTGGCCACTACTGGCATAAGACACCCGAATCTGTCAGCAGTTGATTTGCATTGTGGGTAATGTAGATGCCAGTTTTTGAAGAATGCGTGGAATAAAAAATTTGGCTATCTTGCTGCTGCTTCAGTTTTCATCCTTGAAACTGTCCATCGTGAGTCCAACAATGTTATAAGAGTGCAGTGTTAAATCAGTTGAGTAAATGTATTGTTCTTGTGTTTAGTTTTTATTATTTAATTTCTTTAAATTCTTCTTTATTTTTATTCTCTCTTAAATTAAAGGACCTGTGTGTTTGATTTAGTGGGACCCTATCTAGAGCCAGTTTGGTTTGTCCGTTCTGCGGTCTGAGGGAGAGAACAGTGGCCAGTTCACGAGTCTGCGACCATCAAAGAGGACCCGCCGCTCGCTTGTAGAGTAAAAACTCTCCGCTTCTGACGGTAACGAAAACCAGACGTGCGTATCTTTCGCGGAGTGATGCGCTCATGACACTAATACGGTTGCACCCATGGCGCCAGACACTTTATGATCCCTGTCTGCAATACGGAGTGCTTCACTGACAGTTACACACTGATCCTTTAACTAATTTTATTTATTTAAACATTGCCTTTTTACGTTATTTTTGTGTTTTTTATTTTTAAAGTAAATGTGCACTGGTGGCTAGAGTTTGTATCATTTTTAGGAGCTAATCAGAGGTGTATCATGACACTCAAACTCCATTTTATGAGGTAACTACAGCTGTGAGAACAATGTGGGGAAGGAAAGACACTTATTAATGAGGCACTTTGGCAAGACACAATACTGTTGTTGGGATCAAGTTTGTGGTCTCTGAGCTACAAGTGTTCTGTAAACAAAAGCCCTGATGCTAGAAAGCGTGGACATTGTGAATAGGCGTCTTGTTTACTTTATGTCCAGTTCAAAAAGACAGACTGTCCATGACATCATCTGTTGATGAAATTTCAAAGCATTAAGTGTGGAGTGGTGAATTAATTCATCATCTCATAGCAAGCTCTGCATATGGTCACAGTATGATAGCCTTGACCACTTTTCATAGAGGAATACAGCTATTATCTCTGTGTGCTTTGTCATTCTAATAGCTGTAGAGGACATAGATGGATAAGCTGAATGGCAGACCTGTGATTCTCACTGCCAAGTTAGATGTTAATGGAGGCTTCTGAAGACGGATCTGATCCACTGGCTTCGCAGATACAGATGGATCGCAGAGGGATGTCAAATAGATAGGAGAAATGACTTGTTACACCAAGCAGTGCTGTATGAACACGATCCAAATCTTTCACCAACTACAGTAAATTCCATATTTTCTGTGTCCACAGTATATGTGGGAGAAGAAGAGAGAAAGAGAAAATTAAGACTAAATGAGAATAAATGTATGTAGGCTCCATACGTGCATGTGGAATGTCATGTTAAACAGATTCAGATCTCTCTGTTCCAGGCATTTTGAATGGATTAATGAATATTGGCTTTGTAAACCCAGCCTATTTCTGATCCATTGTTTATTTGCTCCGCATATGCCAGCTGTCAAAGTCACTCTCCTTTTAAAAACTTTACAGACACTGTGAGCATCTTTTTGCCCTTTATTCCAGAAACATTTTGCATGAGGCCAACTTTCCTGCCACAAGAATTCCACACGGACACCCCTCTCTCCATAGATGCGTACCACACTGGGGTCCTGAGAAACGGCCTGAGGGATCAAGAATTTAAACCTGTTTTTTTTCCCTCTTCTTTCTCATCTATTCCTTTTGCTTTTTGCAGCCCCTCACTTTTACATTTATTGTTCTGTTTTTTCTGCTCAATCTGTCAGACGCCCCTTACTGCTAGATGGCTATGATGGATTTTCTGTGTGCACAGCAAACATACAAAAGGCTCAGATAAGGGAAAGATAAACAACAAAGCAAATATATTGACAGAAAACAGGAGACAAGGGAAAATAACCAGGTGGAGAAGACACACAAAAGAGAGGAAAGAAAAAAAAAAACAGGAAAATCAGCGAAAGACAAGATGGTTAAACAATTGGGGGACCAATGTTTTCATGGTTTTAACTCAGCATAAAGATTATTTTGAAATGTTTTGTTTTGATCCACTAATGAGAGTCATATTTAAGGATGTGCCATTTGAACTGTCAATCAAGGGAGGCTGCAAGCCTGCAACGAAAACAAACATTGAAAGCTCTCTGCCCCAGAGTGTTTTTCCTCCCTCCTTTCCTCTGCACACACTATCTGTTCATCCATCCTCCCCAATCCTGCATCCCCTCAGTAGAAGCGGTTGGGAACAGGAAAATGGGATAGGCTTTAATTCAAGCGTAAATGATGGATAGAAGTCAGAGGAATGGTGCATATCTGCATCCTGGAAAAAGAAAAACACCATCAGGAGAAAGAATTAGAGGGATTAAATCAAAAGGAAGGGAGCAGGGTAAATTAGGGGAGGGGGGAACTATCTGCCAGTGTTTAGTGAAGAGAAAACAAGACATGGGAACACCGGTGACGTCACAGTGAAATAAAGTGCACGGTTCAGGAGCATTGTGCCCGTGGAGCCTTGAACATGATCTTCCAGAAAACAGACTGTAAGCACAATGTGATGGTTGTGGGAGGCAGTGTGGTCGTGTGTGTGCACAGAGTGAGTACATGAGTGAGCAGCACAGTGTGCCGCATGTTTCCATACAGATGGAAGTTTGTTTAGAGTAGCCTGAGTGTGAAAAGTGAGTATGCAGATGGAGATGCAGATGTGGTGAATAGCACTCTGTGCGCTTCGGGGGTCTCTGGGATAAACTGGCAATGTCAAGATGTTTTTTTTTTTTTTTTGCCCTACGAATTTCCTCCACTTTCTCAATGTCAGCCAACACCCCCTACTGGATTTGGACTCACGACTTGTTCTGTGCGTGTGTGCGTGTGTGCGTGTGTGCAGCAAAGGATGCTGTACCCATGACCATATATTGCATCTGTATTTACATTGTCTATGCATGTTCACATCCATGGATCTGCATGTGCTTATGAATGTGTGTGCACCTGAACGTGTATAAAGGAAATCAAATATTTCAGGCCCCCAGATCAAAAAAGCCTTTGGTATGATCTTGTGTTTTTATTGTTATTGCATTATTGTAGGACAGTTTTTATTGCAGGTGTAGGGATTAAAAAAACAAAATATGTTAATTATTGAGCTTTAGATGTGCTTTGTTTCCTGTTTACAGTCTTTATGCTAAGCCAAATATAGCTGGCTGCTGGTGGTATTTTGATCCTCAATGGACAGACATGATATGATATGATCTTCTCTTCTAAATCTCCACCATAAAGCGAATACAGGTATATTCCAAAATAAGATTTGTATTTGCATAGACACATCCCATGCTCTATTGAATCTGTGTTTGCATATATATGAATACACATGTGTATACTGTTTTATTACAGAATAAACCCAAACTAATCCTGTGGCTATCTTGTTTTAAAACCTTTTCTTTGTTATTATTGTGTTTATATGGTGTATATTCCTAAAAAAAATCTTCTTTCACATTGCCACAAACACACAGCAAACCTGGGGTCAGGTGGTGTTCCAGCAAAGGAGTAATTGTTGGTTTCTGGTGCTCTAGGCAAAATATAATCGAGCTGCCATGTGTAGTCACCTGTGTGCTCTGTACTTGATTGATACTTGGAGGCAAAAAGGAGGGTATAGGTATAGGTATAGGAGCTCATTAGCTCAATCTTGCTGTGAGGCCGCCAGCGGGTTACTCTGGCTGTGTATGTTGTGATGCAGTACAGATTTTTAACAATCAGGGCCAGTAGTGTGTGAGGAGAGGGATGGCAGTGGAGTAGAGATAACCACCAGATGAGCTGCAGCTATTTGTTTAGACAGATCTCCTTGAATCCTGGAACATCCCTCTGTAAACCCCACAAGATGGACTGAGTGAGACAGTGTTACACAAACTGGAAGAGACGGCTGAAGAGGCTGGAAAAAAGAGAAACATTAACAACAGAGGTATATCAATTCCACTTTGGAGATACAAGAAGTCAGACAAAGAGGAAATTTGAGAAGCCTTCCATCCAAGTGTTTTAGTGAATGAAAGCAACATAAACAGTAAAAAGTAACCGTAAATCCAGTTTGGAAATCATAGAATCAAGTTTTACCTATAAAGAGGACTGACGGTAGAAGATGGATTAGAGCCTAAATGTGGTCACACACACACACACACACACACACACACACACACACACACACACCTTAAAGGTGTTGTGCTTTCTATCAAAATGAGCATTTGTTTATGTCATAGTAAAAAACCACTAGTGTTCCCCTATGGAAAAGGAACTATTCAAATCATGTGTTTGCGTGTGCATCTGCATATTTTTACGTATTTATATTCTGGTGCACGCACTCTCAAGCATGCGTGTTTCCACATACCAACTCATCATGTGCAGTTCTGCGTGCACGAGAGCGCTGACGTCATATTGTTAATGATGATTACGATCATGGTGTTTATTTATCTGCGGAGGTGGAAAAAGGTAGACGGGGGTTGAATGAGTGCAGTGTCAGGGACTGCAGAGAGCAGAGCAGGAGCCAGGAAGAGAGAGGGAGCTAGGAAGATGGAGAGTACGGAAGAGGGGTGAATAGTTCTCTGTGTGGGGAGTGAGAGAAAAGAGAGAGCCTCTTGTGGTATGTTTACATGTCAATGTGGTTCCTTGTCTGATTGATCGTATCTGTGTGTTTGTGTGTCAGTGTGTATGTGCATGTGTCATCGAATGGGTTTCCACATTGAAATATGAGGCTTCCCCGTGCTATAACTTAAGTGGGACCATTATATCTATTATGTACTAAGTGTCATGCAATGATATGTTGCTGCATGTAATTTCATTTAATAACTCTTTGGACACTGTGAGTAATGTCTGGTGTATGCTAAGAGTGTATTAAATAGCTTGCTCCTAGTTATTCCACCATTGTGATTTATCATAGCGTAAACCTACAAACCACCTCCATGTGGCAGGCAGTGTAAATCCGACCTTGGCTAGATGCTGCGTTGGACTGAGAGACACCAGTGGAGGTATATTTAATAGAAGAATGAACCAAATCTGATGTGCTTAATGGAAATTAAAGGTAACCACAAGTAATAACTCCACAATTACCTAACTGTATTAACATCCAAGATTAACAAAAGGTTTGTTTGTATGCTTAATCCATGTTTTCCTCAACTGTACTGACCACTGCAATGCAATTGTGTGCTGTAATCAATCTACTTAATTAGACATATGTGTTGATACGAGGGTGTTATCAGGAAACAATGCCATTACCAGCACACACTCTCTGCTCTGCTTTGAAGCGCAGTTCAAATAGTGTGGGAACAATTTCTGTGAGTGTTTCCTGAGTTTAAAGCCGCCAAGGAGCTGGTTAAATCAGGCTGGTTGTTATTATTCGACAAGCAGGGAGGGGGAGGAATTAGGGAGAAGAGGATCTTGGGAATGGAAGGATTGAAGGAGGATGGAAAGAGCCAAACAGAATACCAAGATCACAGAATGGTGAATAGAAAAGGAGCCTTTTTGGGTTTCTTGTTTTTTTTTGCCTTAAGGAGTAAATTGTTTGGTCATGCTGTGGAAAATCTTTGCCATGATAATAGGAGGCAGGAATTGTAGGAAAAGATGTTTAAAAAGGAGGTAGGCAGACACAAACACTGACATACTCACACAAACGAATAAAAGAGGAAGATGGCGTTCGTCTCCTGTTACAGTCAATGAAACATTAAGTGTGTCATTCCATATAGTGTGTTTGTAAGGTGTCAGGTTAGTGCCCTCCTCGGAGAGGCCCTCCTCGAAGAGGCCCTCCTCATTGCTAGGGGTGTTTCAGCATGTGTGTATGTGCATGCACCTATTTCTGTTTGTTTAATGAAGCCCTCTCAAGTGTAAAATGAGTCTTAACACCTGATCGGGCTCACGGTGTCAGTTTGACCAAGGGTGCTAATCTGATAGAGTAACTTTGTTAGACCATGTCTAGACACACATGTGGTAATTTTGTTTGTGCTAAGCTTAGTAGTAACATCATGATCAACTGTTAGCAGATAAAATTCATATCAAGCAAAGTCTGACGGTGCCAATGTGAAGTATATACTGTAGTGTGACGTTTATGGAAGAGTTCCCATTGTTGCTCAAGGAGCATGACTAAAGTTCCCAGTGAAAGGAGACTGTGGAAACCCAGCAACAGTTCAGACCATTCAGGCCATAAAAAGATACTCCAATTTTCTCCTCTCCTGGGACAGAGGTGTCGCTTCGACTTAAGAGTTCAGGATGTTGGAACAGACAGTTTTGTGTCTTGCGAAGTGGCATAACAGACCTTGCATAAGTTGAGCGTACTGGCAACCCAACGTGGCTTTGCAAGCTCGGTCTCTTTCTCCATCTGCTACTGCTCAGTCTGGGCTCCAGTGTTTATAATGACAAGGCTGTGACAGGGCAGTAATGACGCTGCATCAACCCGCCAAATGGGATGGATGACAAGTTTCAGTGACTGACAGTGGATTAGCTGTTCTCTTTCCCGCTTCCTTCCTGCTTTGATGGCCACAGAGTACTGTGAAGCAGTGAATGTCATTTCTTTGACGTATGCTACGTTATACCTGTCATAAGTAACTAAATACAGATGTATATAGATTAGATAGACATATAGATTGCTGTATAAGGGACTGATATTATGTTTTCACTGTAAAGTAAACCATCCATGGGTGGCTCCTGTTCTTCCTAGCTCTTCAGCGGATGTCCTGAGTACAATAGGGTTCATATAGGGCATAAACAACCCAGTCCGGCTCATAAGGTCATATGTTAGCCATCATCCAGGCAATTAGCCGGAGTAATTCCATAGTTCTAAATATAAACCATGTCATTTGTTGTTAATTTTGAGACATTTTCTCAAGACTGAGCACATCCTGAGGCAAAGCGTCATGTCTAAGTAAAACCCAAGGTCTTGATTAACTTTTAATGGGACTATATAATACTGAATGGATGTGAACAAGGGTGTAAAGAAGGAGATATATTTAGAATGCAGTCTTTGTGTGTCTTCTGTGAGTTGGTTAGTGGAACAGAGCAGGGATTAGGGTTGATTTATGTATTATATTTCCATGGAAAATGATCCGATGATGTAGGGAGTTGACAGGGAACAAAAGGCGCCAGAGCTTGGGCTTCATGATTGTCCTGACTCCATGCCATTAAGTGTCACCCCACGCTCAGTTTCACTCCAGCGTCTTCAGTTCCACCTGCCTGCTGGAAGAACTCCCTCCTGCCCCTACCCTCCTTGCTGTCTCTCCTTTACCAAAAGCCCTAAAACACCTTTCGGGGAATTACATAAACACATAGCTTGTCTGAAGATTCTTTCCACGATTAGGTGTAATCATTTAATCACTGATATCTTAGTGTTGACACACAAGGAGAGTGTAGAAGAAATGTTTGTTGGCTTGAAGTTGGCTGAAATGAAACAGAACATCACACAGTAAGTAGTATAACGTACGCACCTAAAGTTAGTGTAGAAAAATAGATAAGCTTATCCTGTGCACAGACTAAACTGTCAACACTAGCGCTTTTAAGAAGCATACAGTAATTGCTTGGAAATGTACAGCATGAGGTCATAGCAAAATCTGAAATTAAGGCATACATTGAACACTGAGTTTATCTTCAGCTGCGCTCTGTGCATTGTTTTTCTAAGATTAGGCAATAGGATGATAGGAAGCCATGGATAAGGATGGTGGAGGAACTTTGAAGTTGGTAAAGGGAAGGGGCCAGGCAGGTATGTGTACTTGAGGGGGTGCTGAAAGAAACATCAGGTCAGCTGCAGTGAAAGAATGTGAGAAAAAAAAATAGTATAAGTGCCAAACCTTTACCCTCAGAGACAATAACAGAGAGGATATGAGTGTTGAAAATCATATAATTCAAAAGCCAGCCTGTTTATCAGTTTATAAAAACATACAAGGGCAATATACTGCATGTCATCAGACCAGGCTGGATCCATTATTCTGTCTTCATTCCTCTGTGATTCTCCCAGCTGCTCCATAAGATATCATCAAAAGCAGGATAAAGGTTAGAAATGAAAGTCAAAACACTGTCACTGTTTTAATATTACTGCTCGAATTTTCAACTAAGGTACATGTCCTAAGTGATAAAACCTAATGGCAGTACATCAGTAGAGAACAGTTAAGTCAGAGATAGAGGACGCTTATGGCTTCATTCCCACTGGATTTACCTAAAGACTTGACTTCACTGCCCGAAGATGGCAAGATAAAACAGGAGTTAGAAGGTAGGTCATCGCCAGACTGTGTTTTTACATCTTTGCTGTCTTAGGTGGCTTTGCACCGGGTCATGTCAGGTATGTCACTGATTAGCCTGCCCTGAAGCCAGGTGTGTTACTGCACTGTGCTTCCTGTCTGCATCCTCCCAGTTAGTTCATTGTTATCGAACACACCATTAATTCACTCCAGCAGCCGCCAGATACGTTCCCCTAACATGGGACGGTCACCTCACTTCTTTCATTATAGCACATGTTCAATATAACTTTGTCTTAACATAACATGAGCAGAACCTAAGAAACCCAGTTCAGGTTTTGTTAGAACAATCGCACCCTCCCCCCAAACCTGGCTTCACATTTTATTGAGGAACCAGACAGTGTTTACAAAGAGCAACACAGACAAGAATCCTGCTGGGCTGTCACAGTAAATGGAGATATATAATCAAATCTGTGTTTTCTGGTGGATTTGCAGAAATCTGTTTTCATCAAAACTCTTTAGAAATGCTTCACCCGAGGAGAGTCGGGAGAGAACTGCAGACATTCAAGACAAGGGAGGGGGTCAAAATGGATAGAGATCAGGAAATAGTGGCAGACTATGAGACAGAAAGAAGGGAGAGAGACGAGAGAAATGGCTCAAGATTTTATTTAACTGCTACTGTTAAGGGAAAGATATAGACGACGGTAGAAAGAATTTGAATTTGGATAACATTTAAATTTCACATTTCTCATTTGGGTAGTTCTAGAGGGATTGCACATGTCTCTTAGTATGACATATTTACTCTCTTAGAAGCATGTGTCTGGCAACAGGTGGGAGATGGGTGATCACTCACTGCGCGCACAGAGCTGAGTCACTGGACATGGATGGGACTCAAGAGATTTATTAGATTAAGCTACATGAGTGTCGCTGGGAAATATGCTTTGTTTTGGCAACAGAGAGAATACATTGTTTTTGAACTGGTAAACACAGAGCTGTAAAGTGGGGGGTTGCCGAGCTGTCACAGTGCCAAGAAGCTCCAATTTCAGGGGAACAGTGTTGTAATGACATCAGGGCAGTGTAATGCAGGTTGTCATGAGCGCAGCATGCTTGCCTTGATGTAATGTAACTCTAGCAATGGCACCTGAACTCACAGCAAGGGCACATACGGTAAAACATTTATATCATTAGTGATAGGGAGATCGAAAGATAAAAGAGAGAAAAAGATGGACTCACAGAGAGAAAGAACAGGGGAGATATTGGCATGACTGGAAGAATGGAACAAATAGCCCATCAGACTGGCCATCGGGGGAACAGGAGAATTCCCGGTGGCTGGCAAGCTGATTGGCCTGGAGTGTCAAATGCTGAAGAAAATGGGTAAATCAAAGAGAAAACACAAGCAGCTACAGTCCCTGAGAGCTGTACACCGTCAGCCCCTGCTTGCTCTTAACCTGATGGTATGAGCTCTGTCTGAATTATTATCCCAGTCTGCCATCAATAACCAATCAATCACTGGTTTTACCTCTCCTCCCTCTCTGACGTCTTTTTCCAGTATACATCTTGCCAAAGTGCTGCAGCGACTGTTTCTCTCTGATGAGACGCAACATATCAGCGTTCTCAGAAGACCGAGCCAGAAACACAAGCACTAATTTATCATAAACATAAAACCAAACAAAAATAGCTCGCAGGCTCTCCTCACTCTCACTCTGCCAAGAGGCTTTCAGTGTTGGGGGAGGGATAAAAAATTGTGTGAGGTGCTAAAGGAAAAGTGAGCAAGACGGACGGGTTCCTATTTAGACACAATGCAATAAAGCACCCCACATGCATGCTAACCCCCCTTCTCATGCAACATTTAACCACACTGGACCTCCGACAGGGCAGAATACCATGGCAGGGCCAAGTAAAGGTCTTGCTCGTGTACCACAGGTGTAATCAGTTTATCTGGCTGGAGCTAAGAACATGGCTCCAGTAAAAGCATATGCAGATGTGCACACATTCACGAGACATTTGTGGGCTTATAATCATATACATACAAGTATGCACATAGACAAACACACAGCTATGCCTGGAGCCTCAGACTTCCTCCCCTGGGGATAAAGTAGAAAGCACTATGGTCTTACAAATTTCTTTTACAAGGCACAAGATAAGTGCTAGAGTCACATAAAACACGCATGTGTGTTTTTTTTTCGAACAAGTAACTATGTTTTGACTATGAGCTCAGAGAGGGGAGCCCCCTGTAACTATGTAGGGCTTAGAGTGGTATCAGTATGGCCGAGTTAGTCTTAACTGCATGACCCATGTTCGTGCACCATGTTGGCCTGCACATGCTCATAGGAGTGTCCTTATGCAAGGTAGTACCACTCCAGCAGTTGAAGGAATGCACACATTGCAGGTGGACTAGCAATCAGTCCTTAGATAGGAATAGTTGAACAACTGGAAAAATAAAACTTTTAGTGAAGCTGCAATGATAAGCATCATTTCACTAGGTGGTATCTCTCTTAAATCCAGCCCTGTCAAAAAAATGCGTGCAGCTCCTGATAAAGAGGCAGGCAGAGGTCAGATGCTTCATTGGCTCTTTTTATTTTGAAAGATAAGGAAGTGATGAAGTGTTTGAAAAGTTAACTGCACAGTGAACTCCCTGGTTGTCAAACTATAAAAGCTATATATCACACTGTTCTTCTTCCCACTCCCAACCAAAACCTCACCATTCTCCCCACCCTTAATCAGCCAGTCACCCCATACTTTCCCCCTCTGCTCCAACCACATCCACACTATCTCTCCCCTTCATGCCAATCTCTTCCACCTCCTTTCCACATCCATTTCTGCCATGCAAACATCACCACAAAATTATCCCAACTACTTGTTCATAATTCTTCTCTGATTAGGGCTGTCATTACTAAGGAAGACACTGTGAAGAGAAAGCCAAGAGGACACACAGGGAGCCTAAAACACACACAGCCAGACCCAAGTAGTGGAGAATAGCTGACCGCTGACGTAGCTTAATGTAGCTAAGCCGTAGGGGGGGGGGCCCATTAACAGAGAGCAGAGCTGGATGACTGGATGCAGCTGTGCTCAGCAGAGCCTGATCAGAGGCAAGTTGATTGATTACAATCACCTGCAATGCACTGCATAGTGTAGCAGAGCAGATCAACAAGAGAAGAAGGGGCATGTTCACATGAAGTGGAAATTACATATTGAATCTTGGATTACACTGGGTGATTCTGATTACTAGTCTGTGTGTGTGTGTGTG